TTAATAAATCTGCAAAAATGTCAAAAATTCTGTGTTTTTCTGTCAATATGGGGTGCTGTGTGTACATTAATGAGGAAAAAAATGAACTTAAATGATTTTAGCATATGGCTGCAATATAACAAAGAGTGAAAAATTTAAGGGGGTCTGAATACTTTATATTAAAAAATAGTCACCAAGCATTACCGATCCCAAACAAGTCCTCAGATGTTATTGTTTACAGTCTTAGTTAACCTCCACTGATATTGGCTCTTTGCAAATTAATAGTCATTAATTACTTACACATTAAATAATACCTATATAACGTCTTTCAAACTGTTTATCCATTTTCTGTTCACAGCGCTTTGCTCTTCTGACTACTCCTTCACCTGAGTTACCAAAGACAAAGCAGAAACAGGAGAGGCTGCTGGTGGCCTTCACAGCAGACAACAACAGCCTCCATCAGAAATCACCGCCTGCTAAGGATGGCTACTTTCCCGTTGATGAAAAAGAGTCTCATTGCTAGAGAGATCAGAGGAATCAGAGCCTTGTAGGGGTCAAAGGTCACTCCTCAGCTTTGAGACTCTGTCTGGCTTTATCCCAGATTTCTCTGTATTACCTCACATGACAAAATGACAAAACAGGTGCAGGCGGTGAGATTTTCAGAGCTGCCTGACCTGTGACTTCTGTTATGCTGCTAGAGTTTTCTTTATTATATGCTGCCTTCTACATACAACTTGATGGCACCAGAATTTTACATATCATTTACATCATGTTTTTGGGGAATTGGATCCCATCTCTTTTGCTAGTGGTAGAGTCACATGTACCTCTGAAAATACTGTATGTGGTCATTGTTGTTACGCAATGGCTAAGAATTTACATTTGATAGTGTTTGCTTTCTGAGGAAGCATTTTATTTTTGTTATGGACATCTCTAATGTTCAATGCAATCCAGCATGACGTTCCACTTGCTCTACTGATAATGACAGCTGTCTCCTGCGGATGGAGCACAGGAAGCACCACATCAGGGCACAGATCAAAAAGGTTAACTTGAATAAAACCTACATGCATTTAAAAGCATGTCTGTAATGTATACAGTACAAGTGCATTGTGTATTCAACCCAATTTTGTTGATTGTATAGCTGTCGCCTCAGGATGTAATGGTTTCTAATAACACCAGTTCTACAAAAGCATACTAATAACTCAATAAATAATAAATAGCGGTTGACTTTTAATTTATATTTAGCCAAACTGACCACAGCTGAGCTTTCCTGTTGTTTCATATGAATGTGACTATGGTAATTGATTTAAATGTATGTATTTTTTTCTTTTAGCCTGGGAGAACTGCAAAAATATTTTATGTGCTTTTTTCAGTGTGACATTGACATGACTTTAATTCAGTTGGTTTTGCCTTATCTCTAATGTACTGAACTGTATGAAATTAAAATATAAAGTGCCTGAAGGAGACAGTTAGATAATGTGAACAGTGAAGGCTGGAATGGTTGAGGGGTTCTTTCCAAAAATGAGCATCTCTTTTACTGCTGTAGTCTGTGCTTCTTATCTTCTTAGCTATAATGTTGGAATGAATATATGACAACTGATTACAGATAGGAAACTACTTTCACATATATAACTTTTATATCTTAAAGTTATTTTTTATAACTGAATAAACTCCATTCATTTAAACCTACATTTCTATTGAAATATATGTTTTATACATATGTTTTATTCAGTATGTGACTGGTCACTTATATCAAAATAAATTTGTCTTAATTGTGTTTATGTTGATTATTAAAAATATATATTCAGAATTTTAGCAATACTTCATTCTTCATTTAGAATAACAGCATGCTGTATTGTTGCCAAATAAAAGTACGTTATCTGCTTTTGATACTTCATTTGATATCATGTAATTGTTTTAAATAATATTTTAATTTGAATTTAGGGATGTGCTGGTTTATGTAAGACAATGTGCCCTCATACGTAACTTCAGCTTAGTGGGATGTTACTAGTATTGTTTCATATCAGCAGCATCCATCCATTATCTATACCGTTTATTCCTTAATAGGGTTGCTGAGGGGTTGGAGCCAATCCCAGGTGACACTGGGCGAGAGGTGAGGTCCACCCTGGACATGTCACCAGTCTACCACAGGGCTGACATGTAGACAAACAACCACACACTCTCACACTCACGGGCAATTTAGAGTTGCCAGTCAACCTAAGCTGCGTAGCTTTGGACTGTGGGAGGAAGCCAGAGTACCTGGAGAGAACCCATGCAGGCACAGGGAGAACATGCAAACTCCACACAGAAAGGCCCTGGGTCGACCGGGGCTCAAACCCGGAACATTCTTGCTGTGAGGTGACAGTGCTAACCACCAGTAGCATTCTGGAATAAAATAGGACAGGTGTTTTCATAGACACAGCAAATCAGAATGGTTTGTACAGCAGATTATACTGGGGGAAAAGTGTTGTATGACTGTCTCGATTCAGCTGTACCACAAGTTATACTATATTTTTTTCCCAGCTCAAATTACTGAAATTGTAATTTTAGTATTATTGACAGATATATTAGAAACTGCTTGTGGTAGTATATTCCATTTTATTTTTCTGCTACAATTTGGTTCTAATTGTCATAATGTGACATTTAGTGAACTGCTATTATTGCAAATTTACAAAATTTACAAATTTTGAAAAGCTTTGCTATAATCTTGTTGCTTCTCAGTGCTGTTTGTTGCTTTCTTTTCATTGTAACTGAAGTTGCTGAAGCTTGTTCTCCAACTCCCCGTGGACAGCTTTGTCTTCAGTAAGACAACACTGAATTCTAGCAGCCTGAAGAACAAAAGGCAATGGGTGGAGGGCTGCCCATGAGAAGACTAGATTCTAATGGCTGAATGCTATTAAAAGACTTTTGGCTGCTTTTAGATTACAAAAAGAAAAATGCTTAACATATTTTGTTCTGAAAACTATGCAGCAAAAAAGCAGAAACCTGGTGCAACTTGTTTACTGTTGTGGCACAATACCCACATACAGTACTACCTGTACATGACTCCATCAAGTTGTCACCGTGCAGCCTCAGGGAATCAGTGCTCTACTTTACTATGTCTACACATATCATTTTTCAGTCTGACAAAAAATATCCATAATGAGCAGCGCTCCTACCTTACAGTAATACATCACAACCTTTCAGTCTGGTATCCATATAAAATGTAAAAATAAATATCTTATAAACTGGCAGCTGATTGCATGCGCATAAATAGTAAATACATTAATAATAAATAAATTCATGTATTTATCAATTAATTAATGAATAAAAATTTTATCATAAAGAATTTAAGAAGCCCAAAGTCTGAATGTTTTCACAGATTTTGCTATCATGATATGTCAAACTACTTTCTTCAAATTTGTGGACAATGTTTCTTTTCTTTCTTTCTTTTTTATGATAAAATGCCAAATATTCATAAATGTGTGTTTTAGCCAGAAAAGACAATACATTTAAATATGTCAGCTTGGACTTCAGGGAAGAATGCTGGACATCATTTTACTCTTTCCAACTGATTATTAAAGACAGTATTACACATAAGCTTATAAATAATAAACATAAGTTGTTTGCGGTCTAATGGTAGTCCCACAGTAAGATAGAATAACACTGCATTTACAGTACAACACATGACCTCAATATCAAAGATATCAAAGCAGACTTTGGGGCCACAACTGTGCTATTATACATATATATATATATATGTGTGTGTGTGTGTGTGTGTGTGTGTGTGTGTGTGTGTGTGTGTGTGTATACTTGTGGCTTTTGTTGACTGCTTTGCCCACTTCGTGATCCAGCCTTGTCTCTGATGGTAATGGATGATCGATAAGAATCCAAACATCACCATAACCTCCTTAAAATCTTTTCACATCTTCTGCAGCTGACCCTTACTGACAGAAGTGTCCAGACGTGACTTATTGTTATTTGTCTGTACTACAAATTTTCCGGGAGGGGGCGCTGTAGTCACAATTCAGAGTCACTGTTTACGGAAGTCCGAATGACGTGTCACTGTCCACCGAAGCATTGTGGGAAAAAAGTGGAGCTGACGGCTGCTGATGGCAAACTGCTCAGTTTGGTTAAGATATTCGACTAAATAGCAGCCTTAAGGAAGATAAATTAATGGGAACTATGCTGTTTCACAAAGTTATTATCAACAGGCGGTGAAGAAGAGGAACATATGCCGTTGTCATCGCTGCTGTCCTGTGCACGGACGCTCAAAGCAGAGAAGGGGGATACTGTGTCAATGGACCGCGGCGTTTTTATTTTCTTTTTCAAGAGAGCCAAATAAAATAGCAACGGATCACATTCCCACTGTGGATGGGTGGGGGGCAGCTGCGCTCCCGCATTCATTAATATTCGAAGTTTCTTGAGATTTGTGTCGAAGACGCCGTCAAAGATGTCGACCAGCAGTCCCGAAGCGGTGAAGAAATTGTTGGAGAACATGCAGACCGACCTGCGGTCTCTCTCCATGGAGTGCAAGAAGAAATTCCCTCCAGTCAAAGAGGTTAGCTGGCTAGTTAGCTTCACTGAGCCGCTACCTTGGGGTTCAGACGCTTGCCTCATTTGCGAACCTGTAGTAGTAGTAATAATTATATGTATATTTTAATGTTATTTTTACAATTTCTTACCTGTTTCCCAATTGACCAGTGGGCCTCTGTTGTGGGATGTGGACACCGAGTTGTGCCCATACTGTACGTTATGGTTCATTTAAAACTTCTATCAGCTGCTGGGCCTTCCTGCCTGTTTTTAATTGCCTGTGTCACACGTTTTGGTTAATGTCGCTATTCTGAAGCACACCCTTTAATTAACACAATAGCTTAATAGTTAAATTTATGCCTAGTTAGCTAGCTACATGACTGTCATCAGGTGTTTTACAAGGCATTATACCAGTAGTGTCACACTGGAAGTGCTACCCAAATCACAAAAACATTTTTTCTCATAGCCATAGTTAGCATAGTTGCTACAGAGATGTTGTGTGAGAGTTAAGTGAAAAAATGTTTGGTTTCTAACCTGGGTGACCCACTCAATTTCAGACAAACCTATTGCTTTATGTGAAATAGTGTGTAACGTGTTTTGATTACTGTTAAGTGTCTGCCTTTGGAGGACAGTGACTTGAAGTTATACATCACCAGTTTTGACCCTCGCTTTTCAGTCCCTTATTCTAAGAGAGTGGTGCTGTACAATGGAATCGCATTATTTTTCAGCCCGAAAAGCATTATACAGTATACTCTGTGTATATTCTTTGTAAAAAATATTAGTTCGTTCAAATTACAATTCCTATTTTGTGCACAGCAGTACCTGTAAATTATACTGAATGAGTGTGACATTATACATGTTGCGGTTGTTTTCCAATGCTATGAGCACCTCAGACAAATTTCTGTATAACCATGTTTCACTGGAGTGGCTGCAAAAAGAATAGTATCTCAGTGCTTTCCCATTTAAAACCAAAATTATCAACATTTCTAGATCAATACAGCTTTTAGTGATTTTGGAGAACCAGTCCTTTAACCTTTTATTTTAATACCCGAACAGTTGTGTGTAAATAAACATTTATTTTCTAACGAAGTAAAGATAATCATTTTTTGCAACATGTTTTTTGACTTTTATATGATTTGCATCTAGGAACGTATGATGCAAGGTGGATTCACACTAAGCTTGCCAGTACCGGCGCAGCCCAGATTACATAGAAGTGTTTTGTTTATTTCATTGTTCTATTGAATGACTTACTGCAAAATGCTGCTGACTGGATTCATTGTGTAGCAGTGTTGTTGACGTTTCTGGTGACATCATGGCTTAGTTTGAAAACAGAATAGTACAAGGAGGTGTGTTATCCAGGCTTTTTACATTCTATGTGCATTGTTAGATTTACACATAGATGACAACCTTCAACCCAGCTTTTATGACTCCAGTTAGCCCCAAATGACACATCCTTATAATATACTCTGCTTTCAGCAGTCCACAGAATGGGTCAGAGTGTATTTACATCTGTATTACATTGCATTTTTGTTTGAACCTTTGTTTAAAGGCAGAAATATAAACATAATTGTGAGACTGGTGATGTATGAGAATGGATAAACACAACCGCTGTTAATTCTTTGGCATATAGACACATTCCATCATTTCCTGTTGACTGAAATGCAGCTTGTTATGTTATGTGACTTAGCTAAAAACATCTCACCCAGGGTCTTTACTTTAGTTCCCAGATATAACCAGCTCAGTGTTTGCTTGTATGTCTAATTGTGTTTACACAGATCATGGATGAAATGCTCTGTGGGCCTTTTGTGGGCACAGAAATATTCATCAGCCAGCTTAGCACGGCGGTACATATCAGGCTATGCTGGCTTAGTTTGTTTTCCTTCAGGTCTCACCTTGGATAAAGACAATATTTAAAATGAGAAACACTTCAGCAACTGCTTCCAGTTTTTTTCGTGTTTCTCTCACTGCAGCCTGACGTCAATGTTTGATGCTTTAAAATGAGGTGCGTGGCAGTCACACAGGACCATAAATAGCATACATCTATTGTCATGTCTCAGGCTGCTTACTGGCCCTTGCCTAGGGGCCTTACAAAGCTTCTCCTTCACATATTGATTTATCTTCCCCTGGTTTTCTGGTCCTTACCACGATCTTCCCCTCAGGGATCACAGGAGTGCAGGGAGCTGCTTTGATGTTCCTCACAGTCTGAGCTCTCTGGTGCTCTGGCTGATTTATGTTGTGATTAGAACAACCTTTTTCAAGTTTTAGCCATCATGGCTAAATTTGCTGGTATGTTATTGTGCAGCAAACGCAGTTGTGTACTGGTGGTCATTGTTTGAGTTTAGATGATTTGTGGCTGGTATAGCACACCAGAATAATCCTCATATTGTCCTTTCAGAATGTGATATTTTTCTGTGAATTTATTTAACAGAGCTCCATAACTTTCTTATGCGAGATTGCCTTTTCATTTGTCATTTTAAGTATTTATTAGTTTTCAGTTAAGTTACTGTTTTTTTCTAAAATGTCAAAATGTAATAAAGAGGCATTGAGTCCTTATTGCAAAAGGAAAATAAGGAGGCCCTGTCTTCATTTCCCCAGCCTGTCTTCATTCCAGTTCCACCCTTATTTCCTGATCCATCTCCCACAGTGACACTGCACAGCCAGTGGTTTCTTTGGGTTTAGAGGGGGCCAAAAAGAGGCAGTTTTTTGTATTTATTTATTTATTTTTTGTGTCATAGCTTCACAAAACCTTTCTCTTTTGTTTAGTATCAGTCAGGGAACCACCAGGGCTTCGCTGTCTGTTGTGCTCTGATTGCTTTGGCCTAGGTGAAAAAGAAGCATCAGTCATGCATCCCACTGCTCTCTTTGTGGATGAGTCAGGTGCTGTCAAATGCATCTAGCTCACAGTGAAATGTGACTGCTTCTCTTGGTAAAACCTGGAGAATTAATGAAAGCACTGCAAGCAACCTTTTGTATGACTCACTTAGCACAACTCACTTGTTAGACAGGTCAAGTAGGCAGTGCAAAGACAAATGAACAAGCAACATGCAGTGAGGATTTATGTGATTTGACACGATCGCACTGAGGCTCTTACTGAATAAGCCTTTTTTATTATATGCCATGTCTGTTCCAGAAAACTGCTGAGTTTGGAGACTCTCACACTGTTTCTAAGGAATTCAGTGTGTAATGATCTTCACTAATGTTGCTTTGCAAAGAAATGAGCTGGCACTCAGACGTGGATCAGTTCCACTTTTGAGAGACTCCACACAACAAAGACTCGAGAGAAGAACTGAGCACTTCCTGACGTCGCTTGAACAACACAGCCCAGTATTGTTAAAGATATGAGATGGCTCAAAAATATAAAATCAGACCATGAGTAAACAAAACTAAGAAGCTGACCCAGCATGTCGTGCCAGCTTTTATACTTTTACTGGATGCTACAGACACGTCATGTTTAGTGCTGAAAAAATGTTGATGTTTGAGTGCCCAAGTGAGCACAGCAGCGTTAGGATTGTAAGTTAGGTAAAAGCATTACTTTGCCAACTACATGAAGCTCATCAAGCAACTCTGAACTGATTTTAGTTTTTCAGACAGGCTGATAAAAGAAGTCCTTCATAGGATAACCCATTAACCAGATAGGGGTGGAAATTTGGCTGTTACAGTGACATCATCAGGCCAGTGGTATTTTTCCGCACATGGAAGTGACCCTTGACAGATTTTTGAGAGAAGTAAGGTCTCTTCCTTTTACAACAGAAAGCCTAAACAGCACTTTCTATGAGGAAGTACGTGGAAAATTGCGTCTGCAGAGAGAGATTCCACTGTCAGTCATCCTGGGACAGTCAGTAGACCAATATGAATTTTTATTGCGGACAATGATGGGATTTTGTTCATAAAAACATTTGGAGATTCATTCACAGTCTTCACAAGAGAGCACATGGATCCACTCGAAGCTGAAAGGAAAGAAAACCCAAGTGCTCTCTTTTTAATTTGAGGCATTTATTGGTTTCCTGTTCGCCTTTTATTGGTCTGACTCACAGTACTCCTTCAGTTTTATTGTCCCATCAATGAAGCTTCTGTTTTTAAATATACGTGGCTACTCCGGCAAAGCCGGGCCTTTTGCTAATTAATTCTCATCAGAAGCATTTCAAGAAAAACTGAAACAATATTCATAACATATGGATGCTGGGCCTTCTCGCTGCCCTTAGGCCTCAGGCTGCAGAGCTTCTGGTGATGTATTTCAACTGACTTGATTATGATCTGTCACACACTTTGTAGATGATCTACACTGTGGTGTGTATATATAGGTGTCAGTGGAGTCTCACTGGTTCATAGGCGTGACGACATCTGAGAACCAGCAGATCCCAGAGCTGAAAGTGATTTGATTTGTTTAAATAAATGTTATATCTGACTGACAGTCTATAACCCAAGGATATTTATTTTGACCTAGGCCTAAATGTAAAGCTGACAGAAGAAGCAAATCCTCATATTCTGAGAAGCTAGCAAAATATCGAAGTCACTGACTGTTACACTTCTGTTGACTGATCAGTAACAGTTGACTAATTTATTAATCATTTAACTGATTATTAAGCTCATCGGACTACAGCTCTAACTTAATTCTAAATTTTCCTAGACTTTTAATAAAAACCTTGATTTATTATTTTTTCAGTGGTTTATTTATAACCTCACCACTATCCCAGACTTTGCAGTATTGGCACTTGTATGTTCAGCTATCTTTTATAGCTATAAAATATTATTGTTTCAGCTGCAGGGAATATCAGATGTAGCCACAGGGGGGTTGTAGTTACTTGGGACTAAAAAAAAGCTCTATATGTTCCCCTCATTGCCCTGTAAAGAGCTCTGGCTCTGTTTGAGGAATAAAGGCGATGAGGGAGACTAGTGGTTTTTTGAAGATTAACCTTTTAAGTAGCTGTTTGGTAATAGGCCAAGTCACTGTGTGGTTGCTTGGTGACCGATAGTTCACCGGATTATATGTTGTCGACTTCCACAGTGGCTCGATCTTGTGGTAGTTCAGATGAGGGCAACTGCAAAGTTATCTTCCCATCAAGGGTGTTAAATCCGAAGGACGACTTGCTTAAAGTATAATTACATTGTACTGAAATCTTGTGCACACAGATGGGAGTGTTATAGTGGCTTATTCCTTTACTGTTGCTTACTGATGTCACTGATAAACCAGATGATGTTAGAGGCTGTGATAAACATTTTTTATTCTGAATAAATTAATACAATTATTCAATGCTTTTTTTGTTTGTTTTTTGCAAGTAAATCATGCCTGCAGTGGTGATAAGTGTTAAATAAAAACAGCTAAATATGTGGCACGGCAAGAAGGCTGACAAAAACGTGGTGATTCCTGGCAAAAACACTGATTGAGATGTGTCTATTAGATAGATTTGTTGTAGCTTGAAATGTGGAAGGAAGTAAAACAGAGGAGGAGAAGTGATGGGGAGGACTCCTGGAGAAAGCTGCTGTTGTAGAAAAATAAGAATAGCCTCTGTTTCCACTGGTAAAAGCTCAGTTTCTCTGTTCCTCTTAAACAGACTGACTCACATTTAGTCTCTGTAATCCCCTCCTCCTGCCCTTTCTCTCTCTTGACATTTCTCCTTCTCCTTTTCCATGTCTTAGCATCTCACCTTACTGGGGAAATTGTTTTCTACTAGCATCCCTCTCAAGTTGATACCTAGCAGATTTACTATCCCCTCTTCTGTCCTTCCTGGTTCTCCCTCGTGGCCATCATTACAAGAACTTGTGGTTCTGCACCACCAGCACCCTTTAATATATGTTACCTAACCTGAATTTGTCCTCTTTCTTTTTTCCCCCTAGGCTGCAGAGTCTGGCATTGTAAAGATTAAGACCATTGCAGCCAGGAATGCAGACGTACTGGCAGGTGAGTGGGAGAGCAAGGAGCGTTGTGGTTAACCACAGCTGTGTTTTCTTCCTGTCACTTTGTCAGAGGTTGCCCTTCACTCTTATTTGAATATGATGAATTCTTATGAGTTCCCAGATGAAATAGTGCATCAGTCACCAAAATCCTATGTGATCATATTAATAAGATTACTCTTTGTATTTTTGTCAGTGGCCTCTGAGTGTAGTGTAAGACAAAGGAGACCTGCACATAGTGTTAATTCCTCAGCTTTGTTTATAAATGACCTTGCTTGACTCGGTTTAGCTGATAAGACGTGTATGTTAACTGCAAAGTACTTTCAGATGTGGTAGGTCTCTGATCACAAACGGGAATTGTTTCAGTGCGTCTTAATAAACAAAGTCCAGCTTTACATAACATTTGCGGAGTTGACGCATAGTGGACATTCTCCGAGTTCCACTGATGACTGTCAGCCTCCAGCTGCCCCTCTGAAGCTGTAAATGGTACAGAGCTTCTGAGTTCTTCTCCAGAATGAATTTGCACATTGTCACAACAGCATAATGACAAAAAGAATGTTGTTGTTGGATTGTCGCGCAGGTATAAACAGATAAACTAAAACACTTTTCACACATTTGAGTACATTGACATTAAGACATATAAAGGCTTTAGATTCAAAAGAAAAGCTTTAAAACTAAAGAATTGTATTTAAGTAAATCAAATTACAGCATCTTTGCACTTTCCTTTGTGTATTGTGTATTGATTTGTGCTTTGAAGCCCGAATCCATCTGTACAGATCTGTGTCCTTTTCTTGCAGCTCTGAAGGAGAACAGCTCAGAGGTTGTACAGCCTTTTCTGATGGGCTGTGGCACTAAAGAGCCAAAGATCACCCAGCTGTGTCTGGCTGCCATCCAGAGACTCATGTCCCATGAGGTGGTGTCAGAGGTGAGAACCATGAATAAGCCTGGCATATACAGACAGGTGTCAAATGAAAGGAAAACCCTGAATAAATAATGAGTGATCTCTTCCAGGATGACGGTTCCCCCCATCCATAGGGCAGGAGGGGTCACTGAATGGTGTGAGGAGTATGAAAATGATATGAATCATATGTTATGGCCTTTGCAGTCACTAGATCTCAACCCAGTCGAACGCCTGGGAGACTTTGGACAAACGTGTTAGACAGTGCTCTCCACCATGATCAGAACACTAAATGATTAAGAAACTGTATGTTGGTTTTTTTCTTTAATTTGTCACTCATCTGTACATATAGTGCAGTTAGGTTTATTTTCAGAGTTGAGGTATTGTCACAAAAATATAGAGATTAGCGTATTATAAGTGCAATCAACATGCAATATGATGAATAAACCATTATATTATGTTAAGTGATAAATTGCAGTAGTGTGGAAATGTAGGCTTTTCTAGATGCAGGTAATAATTCTTAATTATTAAAATGAATAAAAGAAAATATGCTGGTTTTAGCTCCAGTAAGAATATCATCATCATGTCGAACATTGTTTTTGTCTTGGCTAAACAATGTAGGGACATAAGTTCTTTGTGTCAGTACACGTAGCATAAAACAGTAGAAACACCTTGTTGAGTTGCACCAGGTTTTTCACAGAATCCCCCGCCAACTCTGTGGTAAGGTGGCTTTAATATGTGAAATCAATAAGAGGCCATTGTTGCTGTCTCATCATTCATCACTGTGGGCTAGTGTATTTCACAGAATGTCACAAGTCAATACTTGTTTTCTTGTAGATAATGTTTCTCCCATGTAGTCATTAAGAAAAATTTGCTAAGAACATGGGCACAGAGAGCACATTTTTAGTTTCAGATGCTTTGCATGTGCTTGATGTAATGCAATCCATTGATCACTTAAAGTGGATGGTTGTTTTCTCCTATTAATTGTACTGATTCTTGCTTGTCAGCATATTATTATTGACCACAGTGTTAAGACTCTGTATGGTCAGTGTACACATGCTTGCAAATTTAAGTTCACTTTAGGCATGTCCTTTCTTATATACTAAGGGTAATTGAATCAGATCAGTACTCAGCCAGTGAAACTCGTCGATACCCAATTAGGCCATGTCAATGTTAGAATTGTTGATCTAAATTTATTCCTGTCAGATGGCTACACCTGAAAGGCACTAACCCTCCTTCCTCCTCCTCCACCACTCATTCTGTGCTGCAGTTGTTTTAGTCTTTACACAACCCCCTGTTAGATTTTTATGGAGCCATGTTCAGAGCCTCTGTATTTGGGAAAAACCTAGAAAAGATGTCACTAGGATGATCCAGTAGTTTCACATGATCTGTGTGCAGTGGCAGTTTGACAGCCCTGAGGGACTAGGCAGAACAAGGCATCCATCTCAGGAAATGGGCAACTGTAATAATTTCTTAATCATCAGTGTACTTCAATATAAGTTTATGTGGTGAGTAAAACAGTTTTGAACCTTTTAAATAACTCAGCTGGAGTCAGAACTGAGATCCAAGCTGTTTAAAAGCTGGTACCCTGGAGCTGCTGCACAACTGCCTTGTTAATACACCGTAAAAGACGGTTATTAAAAGCTTACTGAGACATCCCATGCTTTTTATATTTTGATGTCAAGGATTTATTTACTTAGGCTAATGTAGGTTTCAAAGCTTATGCCTTGGTATGAGAGACTGAGTGTTCTGCACTCTGAATAAATCCTCTCACAAGAATATTGTGACCAGCTACTAGTGTTGGCTGTTGAACTTCAGTACCTTTATGGAATTGATTGAATTACTTCAATGCCATCAAGTATTGAAAAGTGATTTTCTACATTTTTATTGATTGATGTTAAGAGACATGTAGTGTTTCTTACTGTCAATGATGCAACTGGCAGGTTTCTACAATTTAAAATGTTTATGTGTACATAACAGGCAGCAGCAGGGAACATCATCAACATGTTGTGGCAGCTGATGGAAAACGGTTTGGAGGAGCTGAAGCTTTTACAGACGGTCCTGGTCCTGCTAACCACCAACACAGTGGTACATGATGAAGTACTTTCCAAGGTACACACACACACACACACACAGAGACACACATTTATTCATTCATTTATTATACCCAGCCTTGCAGATTGGTGGTATCCTTGTTTGCAGCAGCATAACACAGTGCCAAATTACAGTATATGGACTCTAAACTGTCCCTCAGTGTTTTGTTGCAATGCTGATATCTGCATAATACTTAGTTTTGCCCCTGCCCAGGCCATTGTGCTGTGTTTTCGTCTCCACTTCACCAAGGACAACATCACGAACAACACGGCAGCTGCCACTGTTAGGCAGGTTGTCACTGTGGTGTTCGAGAGGATGGTAGCTGAGGATGAACGATTCAAAGGTCAGAGGGCATTGGTCTAATCGAAATGAAGTTATGAATCCTTATTGTGATGAAATGCAAAACATTACCTACATGCAAAATTCATCACTTTATAAGACAGTTTATGCTTATGGTGATGTGTTTACATAGAGAGTAGAGAACAGGACACACATGGGGAGTCAAGCTCAAAGTTCTTACTGCAAATACTAGAGTCCACCAGCAGATTATCTTTTCTTTTTAAAGACGATGATGGTGATTTTTTTGTCCAACTTAAAATATCTTTTACTAGTTTTAGCCACACTTGCTGTCAGTTATAGCATTTTCCTCATCAAATGAATTGCTGGAAATGTGGTAACATTTTAATACAAGTTGAGAGTAGCCAACTCTGGTAATTGACCATTCACCTTATTAATCGGTCACTAATTACTAATAAGGATAAATCATGTCTCTACTTGGAGCCACCCCTTGCCCTGTTGATTAAGCTATTTTACTCAATAAATTGCTTAAATGTCCAAAATATGCATTGTATTCACCTTTCAGGCATTGTGGAGCAGACTCCTCCTGTCCAGGGAAACACCAACAGGCGATCTGTCAGCACTCTGAGGCCCAGTGCAAAAGATGCATACATGCTTTTCCAGGTAAGTCCACCAGGGGGCAACCTTATATACAGTGTTACTTCTTTTCCCCGTTGACTTGCAGTGACAGTCCTGGACCAAGCTGGCTTTAAAACGTGGTTCATGAACTCACCACTTGTGGAGCTGGGGCAGGATGTCAACATAGTCCCCAGCAAATTACTGATATTATCAGCCTCTTAGCTTAAGTTTGTTTAAAATGCATTTGTAATTTCTTTAATTTCTACTATTAAATGAAATTTGCAAGAAGTGATTTAAAGGTCCCTTATCTTGTCATTTCTCACCCACACCTCACTGATGATGATGATGCTTGTTCTCCCAGCAAAGATCAGTGAATCTAGTGTTTCAGCACTGAGGGACATAAAACTCCATTGTTTTGAGCTCTGTTGCATCCCTGCAGGACTTGTGTCAGCTGGTGAATGCTGATGCCCCCTACTGGCTGGTGGGAATGACAGAGATGACACGGACGTTTGGCCTAGAGCTCCTGGAGTCTGTTCTTAACGATTTTCCTGGAGTGTTCTTACAGGTACATTCAGCCTTACATATTACAGTACAGTTATTGATAGAGCCATTACAAAATAATTGCAGTACACAAGAAAACAATCTAAAAAATTATCACTGACATTAACACCTGTCTTATTCTTAATTTTGTTATTGGTTTCTGTTTTGTCAGGCTTTTTTGTTTTCTCTTAATGGCAGAGATGATTCAACTGAAATGAATGCATTTTAACAGTAGTTAGTCTTTGTATAACGGTGCTTTGACACACACACACACCCTCCCTCCCCTCTCCCCCTCCAGCACCAGGAGTTCAGTTTCCTTGTGAAAGAACGGGTGTGTCCCCTTGTCATCAAACTGTTCTCCCCCAACATCAAGTTCCGGCAGGGCAGCAGTAGCTCTGCCTCACCAGCACCTGTGGAGAAACCTTACTTTCCCATCTGCATGAGGCTGCTGCGTGTAGTCTCCGTCCTTATCAAGCACTTCTACAGCTTACTGGTGAGGAACTGATCTACACTGATGGTCGACTAGCCAGAACTGTTGCCTGATGGATGATGTACTAGTGAGGGATTTTCTCAAACATACAGCCAGTACACTTCTGATTTGATTAGCATTAGATTAGTGTACTAATTAAATTTAATAATCCCTTTGTCTCTTTTGTTAATGTCTGTTGTCTCATCTTCTGTGTTATGTCCTTTGTCCTGTAAGTCTGTTATTTCATGTTGCAATAATAATAATAAAAAGATTAGTGTACTAGTAGTTTGGCTTATTTCTGCTCCAGGTACTTTAATGGGCTTAGCTGCATCTGAGTACTTTTGCATTGTATTGGCTTTTATTTAGTAATATTCCATCAATCCCTGAGATGGAAATACGTTTTTTCCTGTGTCTGTCAAGAAGCGAGTTGAGCCACAGAATAGCTGAATCAAAGCCTGAAGGGATTCAAGGAGTTTGCTAGGGGCCATTTTCTAGTTACAGAACAGTCTCTCTCTCTGTTCAGCAGACTCAGTTTCTCTCCCAGTCTTACCTGTGTGTGTGTGTGTGGGTGTGTGTGTGTGAGTGTGTGTGTGTGTGTGTGTGTGTGTGTTTGGTTTGCAGGTGACTGAGTGTGAGATCTTCTTGTCTTTGCTGGTGAAGTTTCTGGATGGTGAGAAGCCTCAGTGGCTGAGAGCAGTGGCTGTAGAATCAGTACACAGGCTATGTGTGCAGCCACATTTATTACGGTAAGCAAAACTGAGCTAAATAAAAACATAATTAATGTTAATGTTAATGGTTCTCACATTTTTTACATTCATTCTGTAGCTGTGTTGAATGACAAAAGACTGGGGGTGTTTTGTGCCTCATATTGCTTTTTTTTTAATCAATCTTTAATGACTCTACAGTTAGCAGTTAGACAGTGCAGAGTATCTGGTTGTGATAGCTAAATGTTTTTTTTTTTAATTGCTGATCTATCTACTAGTAAATATAACAACAGAGGGCTTACTAAGCAGGAAAATATAACACTGATATACACTCTACATTGCTGTCCGAGTAACGAAAGCTGTCTTGTTTTATTTTTTTAATCTTTATAATTACTTTGTTAGTGTGTTAGCATGCTAGCAGCCACTATGTACAGCTGAACCTGATGGATTTTGACCTTAAGTCTAACATTACAGCTAAGTCTAATGAAAGATAAGTAAAGTAAAGCTGAGCCAAGTGGAGTCTCAGATGTTAAAATTCTGTTTTTTTTATGTAGTGTCATCAGCACCCAAAAGGCCCGTTTCCTGCTGTTTGCCCTGACAATTTATTTAGTTTTTCTTTTTCAGTTCATTCTGCCAGTCATACGACATGAAGCAGCACTCCACTAAGGTGTTCAGAGACATTGTGAATGCCCTGGGCTCCTTCATTCAGTCCCTCTTCATCATCCCTAATGTGGGCAACACGGCTGCTGTCAGTGTGCCTGCAGGTCAGTCTTTCTTAAGATTAATAAAGTCTTCTTTTTTTAGCTATAAAAAACTGTGGTACACTCATCAATGTGTTACTGATATTTTGTTAAATCCTCTCAACATTCACAATTCTTAAAGCTGGGAAAAGCCACCGATGTTCAGAAGTACACATCCATGTAGTTGTCGATGTCAAGGAAATGCATTCAAATGCACCTGAAAGTCACGTTTTAGATGAGAAATCATCATAAGTGTTTGATAAATTGTTTTTTTCTTTATAGTTAATGCATTTTTGTTAACTTGTGCCTTGTTCCACTCTGTCTTTTTGGCTTGTTTCTTTTATCTTCCCCCACCTTGCACCTATCTGACTTTGTGTACTTAGGAGGCTCAGGTTTAGGGTCCCAGGGTGCAGTACAGGGTGCCCCAGGGACAGGAGGGGTTAGTGGCAACTTGGCTACCCAGGCTGCATTTGAATACCGTGGAACCTGGATCCCCCTTATGACTGTTAGTGTCCAGGGCAGTGCCAAGGCCACCTAGTAAGTACTGGTACCACACAGACGAGTCGCATTTCTAACTCTTTTTGTACTTTTTCTTTTATTTTCTAACATACCCAGAGAGCAAGATGTGAAATTACAGAAACCAAATTATCACTTTTGTGTTGCTGGGGAGCATAACGTTTTAACTTGTAGCATCGCTGTTGAGTTAGCTGTATCCTGTGAGCAGTGATAAATGGGTTTTTTCTTCTAACCACAGGGGTTCATTAAATGGTAGAGATCAAAGGCTTAACTCTACTTGAGGAGTGAAAATACTATCATCATTAGTTTTTGGTATTTCACAGGAAAGCAAGGTTTGAAAAACAGGTAATTATATTATCTAGAGGTCTTCCTGTAACAAAGACAGGTGTTGTCTAAACGGCTCTCTGTAACACCAAGTGTAGAAAGAACATCAGCTGCTTTTTCTATATCTGCCAGCCAGAGAGGTAATGGGTGTGTTTTGTATCTTGACAGAATTTACACAACTGGTTTAAATGTTGGTGCTGCAGATCATTCATTTGTAAAAAGTCACAATAGGGCATGCACACACTTTATTTCACCTCCATCTCATTTGCTCTGCCCCTGTCTTTCACCCTCCAGCCTAGAGATGCTGGACAAGGTGGAGCCCCCATCCATCCCAGAGGGCTATGCCATGTCTGTGGCCTTCAGTGCTCTTCTGGACCTCGTGAGGGGCATCACCTCTATGATTGAAAGAGAACTGGCCATGGAGGAGGGAGCAGCTGCTGAGTTCAGGGAGGCCCACCCTGACCAGGAGTGGCAGCCACAGCCTGGTAAGAATGGGTATGAGGAGCAGAGAAGGGAACAGTGGCAAGCTCACATAATGCTGTAGGATGTTCAGAGGGTTCTGAAGGATATACTGTACAGCAGCTGAATAGTTGATGAAGCAACTGTATACTATAATATAGTTAAATGTGCTATATCACACAATAGGTTTAAGTGGTATTGCTTCAGTGATCCCTTGTGGCCAGTATTTTGCCCACATGTCCTTACTTTTTCAGAAAAGATCTCAAAAATTGAGTGTCTCAACTGACTGAAGTGAAATAAATCATGAACAAAGTCATGAATGTTTCTGTCTCAGGAGCCCACCAAGTATGGGAAGAGATGGTGAGTGCCTGCTGGTGTGGTCTGTTGGCTGCTCTGTCTCTGCTTCTAGATGCCAGGTAAATGGACCCTCTTCCTTTTTTACAAAATTACATACTTTTGGAATCAAGAAGGAGGGAATGAGTTGTAGTATATGAAACTTCAAATTTGTACCGTATGCTGTTCTATTAATTTGTCATATATGCATGGTACAGGTGAAAAGTGTTTGAAATGTGTTCAAATGTATTTCCTGTTGTATATAAAAATGTCAAAGATACAGGAGGTTAATTGAATGGTTTCTAGCAATGCACTTCAGATGGGTCAGTTATATAAATTGTTTCATAGTTGTTTTCACATATACAATTTAGTGTTCAGTGACCATGACAACAAGGATTATAACACAAAAGTCTAATGTAAAATTCAATGACTCAATGGGCCTAATTAAATAAAGATATACAGTATGGCTCTGTGTCCTTTTGGTTTCCTTTTTTAAAATATTTTACGGCACCATTATTGAGTTTGCAATGGCTGATTTTTTGACTGAAAAGTTTTGAATAACTGCAAGTCACTGATGCATTGTGGGTCGTGGTATGAGCTGTACCAGAGCGAAATTAGAGCGGGTCACAAGATGTTTCTCTCTCCTTTAAAAAAAAAAAAAAAAAAAGTCCCAATTACAACCCACGCACGCTTCCACTCCCCGCTTGCACACACTCTGTTCCGCTCCACTCACATGTTCTGGTTTGTTGTGCTTCAGCACTGATGAGACAGCTACAGAGAACATCCTGAAGGCGGAGATGACCATGGCGGCACTGTGTGGTCGTCTGGGCATGGTGACTCCCCGAGACGCCTTCATCACAGCCATCTGTAAAGCATCTCTGCCACCTCACTATGCCCTGACTGTTCTCAGCAGCAACACCACCAGCCTCTCCAGCAAAGGTACATGCTCTGCAAATGAAAGTGCCACCTAAAACAGCAGTACACAGTGCCCGTTTCCAACCCTGAGAATGGCCTCTACTCATATACATTTATTTTAAATTAATGAGCCCTTATCCCAATATTTTATTCTGCTAAACTGAGTTTAACCTGTACCCTGTTGGCACTATGCCCGTCCCAATTGCCCTGCTTTAATTGCATTAATCCATAACTTTTCACTGTGGCTTCTAATTAGAAACACCAAGGAGAATGTATCTGAAGAATGTGGATGTACACACACACACACACACACACACACACACACACACACACACACACAGCTGCTCTCAAACTAACTGCTCATACATTAGCTTGTATAGATAAAGGCAGCAAATTGGGTCTGAACTTGCAATAGATATTTTCCTTGGAGATAATTAAAAAAGCTTTTGTTTCCATGACGTTAGCTTGTTACAAAACCTGTTTGTGTGTATTACCGACTCTCATCGATAAACTGACTCCTACATGTGTGGGTGTGTGTTTGCACATCTGTGTGCCTACAGCTTATTCAATCCAGGGCCAGAGTGTGCAGATCATTAGCCCCTCCAGTGAATCTCATCAGCAGGTAGTGGCTGTGGGCCAGCCACTCACCTCGCAACCCCAAGGCACTGTGGTGGTAAGGAAACAAATGTATATGCATTTATGAAGAGACTGTGGTTATACATGACATTTAATCATTTACTCCATGTAGAAAAACTTTCTTTTGTAATAAGACAAATTGTACAAGCTATGATTTTCCAAAAAGTAGATGGTAGCAACGAGTCACAAGTTGTTCAGTCATCAGTGTTGTTCAGTTCATAAAACAGTCATCCCATCTGATGTTTCTTTGAGTAGTTACACAAATGCTAAGTAATGCTGTTTGTTTACCAGGTTGGTCTACAATGCTTTGTTTATAAGGGCTAGCCATTATGAATGAAGGTCAGGCAAGCTTGTGACTCTAAATGTCTCTTGAGGGCAATATCATTCCAGATTATATGGGCAGTAACTTTGCATTTGACCTGGAATCATTATGTTTTAATTACAGTAATCCTTATCATAATAATGGTTTTTACAGGTTTTATATTTCACACTATATGCATGTGCTTCCCTCCTTTTTTTGTTAAAGTGGTCATATGGCCGTCAGACTTCAAGTTACTAAGAGCTTATTAGATTTTAGATTTCTTACTATTTCACTGATGATTTGCTATAGTGAAGTGTATGAGCTAAATGCCTGACGAATTGTGCGTGAAAATGTACTGTAATATAACGGACTCTCTCTGTCAGCTCACTGCCAAGAACATCTAAAAACAACCCTGCTGACCTTGGCCCACTGCCCCGGGGCTGTGCTTGGCACCTCCTGGCAGCTAGTACTGGCCACCCTGCAGGTACTACTACCACAACACACACAAATGCACAGGTCAAAACAGAAACACATAAGAGTCCATGTAGAGTTTAAATTTAATAGTTAACTCATTTACATATCTTCACATTTAGGGTGAATAAATTGTGTCATCTACCACTGTGTCAGTGTACATCATGACCCTCAGTTGATGTGGATGTAGTTTCTCCTCATCTTTTCAGCTCTCCTTCAGCTTCTCACTTTGTCTCCCAGCACTTAGTGTGGATCCTGGGCCTGAAGCCAGGGGTGGGTGGTGCCCTTAAACCTGGCCGAGCTGTGGAGGGACCCAGTACAGTGAGTTTTACTGAAACTGTGGGTTGAGCATGCATTGTACTGGACATTTCTCACCTCTCTGTTGGCTATGAACTAAATGACTGTGTTTAACTAAACAGGTGCTGACCACAGCAGTGATGACAGACCTGCCTGTCATCTCCAACGTCCTGTCCAGACTTTTTGAGAGCTCCCAGTAAGGACCAGTCCTTCATCTGTGGAAAACACTCAGAATGGAAACTTTGGTTACTTGGCTGTATGCTTTTATATAATCCAGTAAATGGCTTTTAGGAAATACAGTCCCTGGTAAAGGCCATTTCAGGTCAAAAGTTTTGTTTGTGGAGTAGTTTTAGACATAAGGGATGATAAAATCTCAGCTTGACTCTTTCTACTCTGGTTTATAAAAGAATTCATGATGTTAATTAACTGGATGGGCTAAAAAAAAAACCTCTTAGAAAGAATAGGATTTTATGTTGAAAATATGAATCTTGAAATGTTTTCTACAACATTTGAATATATAATATGCAATATACATTTTTTTTGCATGATCTAGATACCTGGATGATGTGTCCCTGCATCACCTGATCAATGCTCTTTGTTCCCTCTCCCTGGAAGCCATGGAAATGGCCTATGGAAACAACAAGGTAAAGACTTTATGCATTTTAGTGCTAGATGGAAATTGTTTCACTAATATCTACAATCCTGCACAGGGCTCAAACCAGCATGTTTGTACACTTGCACTAGTTCAGAGCCTCATACAAAGAAAACCTAAAATGCAAAGTAGTCTGTATTTATTTAGTTTCTAATGTCTTGTCTTGATCTTAGGAGCCGTCTCTGTTTGCAGTCGCTAAGCTTCTGGAGACTGGCCTTGTCAACATGGATCGTATTGAGATCTTGTGGAGACCTCTGACTGGCCACTTACTAGAGGTAACATCTACTTAGAGCTACAGCCTACAAGGTGCAGATCAGAATCTCTGTTCTAAAAGACTGTTCATCACGACACTTCAGTTTAATCAAATGTGCTATAATGTTGTTAAAATTTACTGGTTAGGCTTTGAGCAGACCTAAAGTTATTTCATTTGACCTTGCAGAATGAATGAACAAGGTAGTTGTAGCTGTTAAATTTGAGACAAGTATGTGAGCATTTGGATTAACAACAGTAACTGTCACTTTTCCCAGTGCAGATGACCTCTTTGGAAACCTCACTGAAAATCTGAAACCAGTCTCTCAAAATAATGAATGCCTGAAGTTCAAAGAGCCTCAGAATAATTGCCCCTCTCTTCTAGACCCTTGAGGTTACTTTACCCACCACCAAGGATCTAATAATGCCAATATTTTCCATGGAATCTGGAGCACAACCCCCATAAAGTAAAATAAAATTACAGCTGTGAGCTATAATGAGTCAGACACTAGGCTTTTCTGTAGCTGATAAAGTTAAAGAAAGCTGAAAGTTTTTAATTACTATTATTGTTTTTGAATAAAATCTGTGCTGAAGTTAATCATTTCCACTAGAATGTAATGTATGAAAGATTATCAGTTGTTCTTACAGCTTTTTAGAGCCCAGTATCATAGGTTACTGACAATTATGGGTTTTTACTACACTCTGTTGGGAGGATTTCTTCATAGTTTGTCTGTCTCTCCTCTCTTTTGCTCTCCTGTCTGTGTTGCAGAAGGTAAGTTCAAATTCTATAATCTTTGGCTTTCTCATCTCTCTTTCTATACAGATGCGTTCTGTTTCCCTATCTGTCTGACATCAGTATGTTGGAGTTGAGGCCGCTATGCGTCCACAGTGTGTTTGTGCCGCTGCCAGTGTTTGATCTTACAGTCTTGCACTGAAATTCCTATGTGAATCTCTGATTTTGTTATAAAGCAGAATCTAAAGCTGCACCTGCAAATCATACATTATGCTTTAAAAATGCTGCCTATCTTTTGTTGCAAGCTTGTTCAAATTCAGTGCTTTTATATTTGAAAGGAAATGTGGCAATGTCATCAACATTATGTTCTTGTTTACAGATGTAGATTATGATAAAGAAAACAGAATTTGTACCACACTACTGTACTTTTCTCTGCAGAGCCCGGCCTCTCCATGTGTCTCTACAGTAGCTTTTATGATTACACTGCAGCAATATCATCTTTTCACAGTGAATCCCAGTCTCTATCATATACGACTTGGTTTATTTCACCCTCTTATTTTGCACCCACCCACTGTGACCACTGCTGGGAAACTATGTTCTGAACATTCTCTGCATCAGATCTGTCAACGCTCGCATGTGTCTGCATTTGTGCATGTACGTGACGTGTCTTGCAGGTCTGCCAGCACCCAAACTCCCGGATGAGAGAGTGGGGTGCTGAGGCATTGACAGCGCTCATCAAAGCTGGTCTGGCCTACAAACATGAGCCTCCACTGGCCCAGAATCAGGTATGTATCAAGCTTCAAGTATGTCATCAAAAAAGTAGAAAAAGAAATAAGAAAATTGGCCTCCAGATAAAACAATCTGGAGCACAAAAAGGCTTTTATTCATTCTATATCATTGTATTAGCTGGTTGGATACTCTGTGTTTTTTTGGGTTTCACTCCTTAATATTGGTTGTGTGTAATTCTGACATCTAGGAAATCTCCTCTAATGTCGTAGTGCAAGTCATGACAGATGAAAGTGTGTGCCAAATGCTTAAAATGTGGAAAAACAGAAATGTCACAATCTCTTGTCACTCACAGAGTCTGTCCTTCACCTTAGTGAGACAGATAAAGAGAATTTTTACAGAGCATATCTGTAAGAGGGCAGAGGAACTGTGCATACAACATCACACAGAGCCATAAAAATGATTGTTGTCCTGTAGAAAACACATGGGAATTGCTACAAAATAGCAGTGAAAATAAATATTGGCGGTTTAAGTGGCCACAGATTATTTATTTTCTGCCAGGCACCCAAATTCCAAATGAAGTTTGCAAAAATCAAAAGGCTTTTTTTTTTAGTTTTCAGACTGCTTTCCTCATGTATGTAGTTATTTCATTTCAGAAGAAAGATCAAAACACCCCAAAGGCTTTCATTTTTCACATTTTAACAGTGGCCCTCAAGCCTTTGCATTCATGGTTGCATTCCACTCATTTGATGTTTCTTTCATTTCTACCTGTCTGTCACCCATGCTGCTCAGAGAACCTTTTGTTCATTTGTGTCAGAGCAAGTCGAGAAACATTTAAACGTTTAAATTTGTTTTTAACAACTCCTATATCAGAAGTATACAAATATCTGCCTGGGTGTAATAAATGAATTAAGTAAAGACGACTTTTCAATGCATTCACCACATTCAGCTGTTAAAAGTGTATTAATTGTGTTGTAATACTGTGATTTACAAAGTAAGAATTTAGTCTTCAGTGTTCAGTCAGTTAACAAAATGGCTAATAACTTCTTTTTACCCCCCAAGCGGCTGCATCTTCTCTTGTTGAACCCCTTGAAAGAGTTGTCCAACGTGCTTCATGCCGACATCCGCCAGAAACAGCTGGAGAGTGTTGGACAAATCCTACAGAGTCAGGGGGACAGCCTGGGGCCTGGCTGGCCCCTCGTTTTGGGTGTCATAGGAGCTATCCGCAATGATCAAGGGTGAGAGTTTTGTGCTAAATGCAAATGTTTTATTTCTATTGTAGCTTCAGTTATGTGGCAAGTACTTCAAGAAACTAAACTCCGCCTAAGTGTACCATGTATCTTGTTTGCCTTCAGCGAGTCACTGATTCGAACAGCCTTCCAGTGCCTGCAGTTGGTGGTGACAGACTTCCTGCCCACCATGCCTTGCACGTGCCTACAGATCGTAGTAGATGTAGCCGGCAGCTTCGGTCTCCAGAATCAAGAGCTCAACATCAGCCTCACCTCCATTGGCCTACTGGTGAGATAACAACTCTTTTGCTGTGGTCTATATTTTTAAGGATTACATTTAGACGCACAGACAGGTTGCCAGAAAGCAGCTAATGCTCTAACATAAAATGCACAACATTAGATGCTCTGCAAAAAGCATTTGATCCACAAGACTACTGGATTTATCAGGGGCCACCAGTAGAATATATTAAGTTAAACAGTTGATTCCCGGGTGTGAACGTGTGTAGCTGTGATGGTGATACAGGGCTATGCTGACCAAGTCTAGGAATATAAATGAGAAAAACTGAAATAACAGAAACAGGTTGCACACTTTTATTTTCCAGTGATTTTGAAGTTTAAATATAGTATGTTTTATATGATTAAACTATTATAATATCACATAATTCCTTGGCTTGTATTATTTTGTTTAATTTAAGAGTGCTTAGCTACTCCACTGACATTTTCTAGACACCGTGTACTACTCAGGATATGTAAAACCTAATATTGATCTGTGGTTTGCAGAATTATTTCTCTTGGAGTGTAGCGGTTCCTGTGAGATTACTTTATGGTAATAGGATAGCAAAGCCATCAGAAGCATTTTACCAGCTGTCCTCTCCAATTTATGCCACCACTCTCTATTCCCACTTCCCTGTTCACCCACAGTGGAACATTTCAGACTACTTCTTCCAAAGAGGAGAAGCCATTACACATGAATTGGAGAGGGAGGAAGAAGCTCTGCAGAAGCAGGCCCAGGAGAAGGGAGAGACCCTCAACAGGCCATTTCACCCTGCCCCTCCCTTTGACTGCCTGTGGCTGTGCCTGTACGCCAAGCTGGGTGAGCTGTGTGTCGACCCAAGGCCTGCTGTCCGTAAAAGTGCTGGGCAGACATTGTTCTCCACCATTGCTGCCCACGGGACCCTGCTGCAGCAGCCAACATGGCATATTGTTGTCTGGAAGGTAGAATACAAGAATGTACAATTCTTATTTGATTTAATTGTACTGGAGGAGGCTGTCATCCGTGTTTATACAGAAATTGTTCAAATACAGTAAAGATGTGCATTCAGGGAAAATGTTCTTGCAAAACCTAAGCTAGGTATTGTTCTCCAGTTTTCTGTAGTGTGTCAAAACATAAAATACTTTTTCTTTTGTATTAGATCTATAACTGTTATCAAATTTGAAAAGATTATAGACTCAAAGATGAGAACTACTCCTAATATTCTTTCTTTGAAGATCTGTTATTGGCAGAGTGTCCTGATAATCCCTTTATAGAAGAAATTGCTGCTGGTTAAACACTTTTGTTGTCACCACTAGGTACTGTTCCACCTGCTAGATTGCGTGAGGACGTCGTCCACCACAGCAGACAAGGAGAAGATTGAATCTGGTGGCGGAAACATCCTTATCCACCACTCACGTGACACAGCTGAAAAGCAGTGGGCAGAGACATGGGTGCTGACACTTGCAGGGGTGGCACGCATATTCAACACAAGGCGGTACCTCCTGCAGCAGCTGGGTGAGCCATGCTATATCTGATCCACGGTTGTTGCCCAAAATCTTGGCTACATGGCCCCATCCATCCTCTCCTCAATACGGTGCAGTCGTCCTGTCCCCTTTGCAGAAAAGCACCCCAAAGCATGATGTTTCCACCCCCATGCTTCACGGTTGGGATGGTGTTCTTGGGATTGTACTCATCCTTCTTCTTCCTCCAAACACGGCGAGTGGAGTTTATACCAAAAAGTTCTAATTTGGTCTTATCTGACCACATGACCTTCTTCCATGCCTCTTCTGGCTCATCCAGATGGTCTTTGGCAGACGATATGTGCTGGCTTGAGCAGAGGGACTTTGCGTGCGCTGCAGGATTTTAAGCCATGACGGTGTAGTGTGTTACTAATGGTAACCGTTGAGACTGCGGTCCCAGCTCTCTTCAGGTCATTGACCAGGTCCTCCTGTGTAGTTCTAGGCTGATCCCTCACCTTTCTCAGGATCATTGATACTCCACGAGGCGAGATCTTGCATGGAGCCCCAGTCCGAGGGAGATTGACAGTCATCTTGAATTTCTTCCATTTTCTAATAATTGCACCAACAGTTGTTGCCTTCTCACCAAGCTGTTTGCCTATTGTCCTGTAGCCCATCCCAGCCTTGTGCAGGTCTACAATTTTGTCCCTAGTGTCCTTAGACAGCTCTTTGGTCTTGCCCATAGTGGAGAAGTTGGAGTCTGATAGATT